AAAAATTCTTCATTTTCCAAATCTTAAATCACTTATTCTTATTGAATATCAAAAATCCATCGAACCAATATTTCAATGTTTATTTCATCTTATTGAAAATCAATTAGATGAACTTGCATTAACATTTAATGGAATAATTTTCACAGGCCGCAGCAGTGTAAAACAAAATTTGTCAGAGATTTCTGATAAGGATAATTAATCGTTGATTTCTACATAACAGGTATCCATAATAAACGGAACAAAATGTTTCTCTATTTTTTCAGAGAACTTTCCAAGACACGGAAAACTACGCAATAGCTTATTCGGCAGAGAATTTTTCGCTGTATAAAACTATCAACTTTGTTTTCCCAATAAGTTTTTCTCATCGGCGAAAAGTTGAAAAGACTGTCAGGTACTTAGCTGCTCAATAGTGATCTTCTAGTGTTTTTTTCGGACATTTATGGATTTCTGTAGTTCTGTGCTGATCAAATTTGATGTTAAACATAATGTATTCAGCATCAATAGATACAGAATTTTCTGTTTTATAGCTCCAAGATCTTTCCAAGGTTTTTGACAGTGTTGTTGATGTGCAAAAGATATGAACCAACATCTGACAATATTTTATTTTGAATGCGTTTTCGAAACTCATGTTTTCTAGTCAGTCGTGCTCTATGAACGGTTTATTATTATACTATCGAATACAAAATTTAATCCTGAAGAAAATGATGTAACATTTAAACTGAATAACGAGAATCTTTAGACTATTCCGAATTAAAAAAATAAACAATGACATAGACCTCTCAGAAGAGTCTTTTGTGTTGGTTCTTAATTTTTTGTTTCAAAAATTGTTCTTCGAAATATTTTTTCCTCAAATTGCAAAACATTGTGATATTCAGAATTCTACCGAATATTATGTAGGATATTTCGAATTTCCGCAGAACTATTATTTAAATATATTTTTAATAATTGCTTTGTTTTCTAACAGATGCAGTTGGACGGCTGAGTCGCTGTGAATTTTATCGATTTTTCGGTAGGGGTGGCACATTTACTTTACTTTTTAGTTACTTTACCAAAGTAAAGTAACTACAGTAGTTACTTAGTTACTAGTAACTACTAACTACCATAGTTACTTGGTTACTAGTAACTACTAACTACCGTAGTTACTAAGTTACTAGTAACTACTAACTACCGTAGTTACTAAGTTACTAGTAACTACTAACTACCGTAGTTACTTAGTTACTAAGTAACTAAGTAACTACCATTGTTACATAGTTACAATACAGTAAACAGTAAATATAGCATATATTAGAGACACAATAGTTCAATAATAGTTGTTTCATGATCAACTATTTGAAACAATCTCCAATGAGATTTGATGATCTTGACGTTAATAAGCTATTCAGGGATGATCCTTATTACTTTTCAGTGAGTCTATAAGGTTAGTAGTCCTATCACTTTTCACGAGCTATCTAATAGTAATACCCAAGTTGAATAGCTTTTTAATTCAACTTGGTTGAAACAGATCTTAATTGATTTCACTTAACTATCAATTCTTATAAAAAAAAGGTTAGCAATCATCAAGTATTCGATAAAATTAAATGATAACGAATCGTCTATTGCTATATATGATGGTGAAGTGTTTTTGTTTAACGATTTACTTAACGTTCGATAATAGGTAGTTAGGGTAGATAAATGTCACTTGATTTTGGTAGCATCCTTAAAAAAGTATTCCTTTAGGATAATACCAATTTTCTTTAGGATTTAATCAAAAGTCTTTTGAGACACTTATAGTTGTACTTTTAACACTAAAAAAGATTGATTAAAATATTTCGAAGTTACCCAATATCATTAATAAAATTAATGTCTTTCTGTTTTGTAAAACACAATTTTAAGCAGATAGATTTATAACCTTCTTGTAATCTGTAAAATAATTTTGATATAAATGTAATCAACACGATTCGTGATCTCGAATCCAATTGAACAAAATCCCAGTTGTCATTTGACTCATTCAAGTAATAACATAATTCGAACCTTTATTTTATTGTCAGTAAAATGTGTTTTCAGTAACGATAAAGACAGCATTGACAAATGAAGGTATTGATGAACAGAAGATAATGAATCACTCAAAAAAACATATGAGTTAACAGAAACACACAATTAGATACTTTTATAATAGACAAAATGAACAATTTTCAATACCGGTCCAGAAAAAGTGAATAAAAGTCAATGATGAGCAACGAAAAAAAAACAGAAGGATTTTCATGACCAACAGAAAGCGAAACAAAAATAAATTTCACTAAAATCAACAGCAACAAGAATAACTAGTACTGTCATGTTGAATAAAACAGGAATAAATGCATAAACAACAACAAATATTTTTTGAAGAAATGAATAAACACAACATTTTATAGAAAATTAATAAAAACAATGAACAAATTATCAATAAAAAGTGAGTTAATCTAATTAAACTTAGTATAATATTTATATTTTGTCGGAGATACAAAATCATCGACTTACATTATTAACAACAGTATACGTGCACATTTTTCAAAGACCAATACTTTCGACAGAAATACAAGCAGTATTTCTTTCGTGTCATAAAACAATAAGCGACGTTCATCAGTAGGCTCATTTTAGTATACATTGTTATTATGAACTTCAAATTATTAACGATTAATTTAAAAACCTAATTATTAAAAAAAATCAAAGATTTAAAGCTAATAATATTGACATATATTGGTCCATGATAGAACAGAAGTGCTTGCTCTGGGCAATGCTAGCAAGTGTCAGTCTTAGAATAATGTGCATGTACGTGGACGTTAAGAATTTAAGTTAATGATCGTTTATCTCTAATAAAATATAGATATCTAAGTTTAATAAGCATGAAGCTACTTATTATATAAATCTGTTCATGTTTTTTTAGATTACTTGTACACAAATCCTAGCAAAAAAACCTATAGCGATAAACAAAAAAAAACAATCTAGAAGGTATTTAATAACTTTGTTCAATTGTATCAAGCAAATGGCGATTTTTTAATACAAGTAAATACCGAAGAGTTCGAGATGAAAGTCCTGATCGTTGTTTACGATTAAGAAAACTAGCAACACTGAACAACGCCTCACTAGCTACAGAACTAGCAGGTGAAATATTTGTTTGTCTTACGAGACGAGCAAGACGTGGTAGAGATTTTTCATGAGATGACCAAAAGTTTTCAAAACTTGTAACAGATTGTGCTGCTTGGATGTAACCACTGATCTCCTCATCGAGTGTCATAACTCGTTTAGATATTGTCGACGATGGAACTGATAATGAATGACCACATAAAACTGCTAGTTCATATAAAGAATTTGACTTATTTGCTGTTGGTTGTGTTGAAGATTGTAGTAAAATAATGCTGGTATTAGGTGAAGTTTTAAGCTTTTTGAAAATAAGCTTTTTAGCTATTTTTCGATCGTCGTCATCCAGTAATTCATAAGTTGTAGGATCTAAGAACGCTGCAATCTAAATTTATGAACAAATCTACACAAAACTGCAAATACTAATAGTGGCTCGAAATACAGTTTACGAATATCGTTTTTAGTTGTTGGGAAAAAGAAATAGTCGTGCTTTTTACTGTAATTTTTGATGAAATAAATTCTGAAATACAACAAGGACTTTTTCTCTGTTTGTTTATAGTTTTTTTCGACTAATGTAACGAGTGTCTAGAGACAATCCGGATCTTCACGTATGAAATCTGTGATACTTTTAATGAAGATTCTACGTAGAGTCATTTTTTAGTCTTTGCTGAAACAAAAGAATTTCGAAATGAATGATTGGATAAGAAGATCAAAAAAAAAGAATTACAATAATATACCAAACGTTGTCTCGCTACTTATATAACACGATTCTGTTCAGAAAGGAGCAATAATTCTGTGAAATAAGTTTTATTGTGAATTAGCAAATAGATTGATATAAGTTGTGACAATTTTACCGAGATTCGAAAGGGTATTTAATGGTCTTCTGGTCACCAAATCAATAAATTTCAAATTATTTCAAGTTAAAACAATATTCAAAACTCATTCATTGTAAAGGAAACCAATAATACTGAAGTCTTTTTAATTTGTAGAGGAGCTTCAAAATTTTACGCTAGTCTTCATACGAATACAAGCTAGAAACCTTTTAGAAAAGGATTTTATAAGATTTGTACGAAAAGTCAATCATATTACATACAAATGCTTACAAAGCTTGAGGTGAACTTCAAGAGATTGGAACAAAATCCCAAGAAGTTTGCATAAAATAAATGTTTTTGCATCTCGCATATCTAACAAATTGTCCACTTATGGATCTCATAAAAGTTTTGTAGCAATCATTGCTAGTTTAAATCAGTGAGAAGAAACTTTTAGAGTTTTAAGGTATTATCCAACATAAAAAGACTTCAATATCAAATTAGTTCGTTTAAAGATGCTTAATCACATATCACTTCAGTGTACAACACTCTCAGTCCATATCCAAAAGTAACTTATATTTAAGGTTTCGTGCGTCGTATGTTTCAAGAGAAATTATAAAAGAATTTTTTCTAATATCTCTCTGAAAGACAAAAAATTCATCTTATTCGTTTGATTTTGAAATCAATATGATAATTTTTTCTAAATTGATTATAGTAAGAATTATATTTAATTAAAAGTATTATCTTTCATTCAAAATTATACATAATAAAGCCCATATCATAATTTCTGAAGTATCAACGTGTAGGTGGAGGAGTTTCTCAAGAATCCCTTCACTATAAGAATCATTAAGATAGCTGGGTTTCGTAGCAAATTAAGGCCGAAGTTAAACAAAAGAAACAAATCTTACCCGCATTGTTTCAAGTTGACCTGCTGGTAATTTACTACCACAATATATATTGAATTGGAATCGAAGGCTTTCTTTTAATGCTAATGCTACAGGTTCATCATTTGACGTTGAATTTAAAAAATATGATAATAGACGCCATATAATAAATGATGAAGCCATAGTAGGATAATATTGCCCTGAAAGAGCAGTTGTTGATTGTTGGAATGGTTGAAGAACATCCCGTAAATATACTAATAAATCTCACTCGTTTTGTTTAAGTGTTAATTTGTGGAGTTTCTTCTTTTGTTTATCTGTTAATCCGTTGAAATTGTTGGGAAACGAAAAAACACTTTTAACAATATCTTTATGTGATAATAAACGACAAAGAAGTAAATGAGAACTGTTCCAACGTATCACCATGTCAAGCACAAGTCCACCAATATTTTCTTTTTGTGCCTTATTTTTTAATTCAATATGTTTAATTACATATTCATTAGTATCATTATGATTTCGAATAAACTTTACACCAGCTCTTGTTTTCTTCATCAAGTTGAATACTGATACGAGCAGTTCATAATGATCAATTGATGATAAATTGTTATCATTTATAGTAAGTGACGAGAGACTGATATCACTATCAGAATCACTTTCAAATTCATCGTCAGTAGTAACATTACGACTCCTACCACCACCTTCATTTGCATCATCATTGTTGTCATCTTTATCTTCATCACTAAGAAAATCTGCAGCTGCTTCAATTACATTTTCATCAACATCAGACGCACCATAATCAATATCATCAATATCTTCCCAATCGTCAGGATTGGAATTAAGATCCAATGGAAAACTAAAAGGCAAAGAGAAGATTGTTTGATTTATTGATTTGGTATCATTAGGTGGTAAAAACAAATTTCAATTCTATAAAAAAACTGAATTTCAGAGTATGATTTGATGAAACTACTATGAAAATTCCAATTGATACTTGTGCTAATACTAATAAAATTCTACGATCCCTCGATTCTGCGAACAACAAAGCTCGGTATATTTCACTTATTCCATTGGTTTTAGATGGAGATAAGGAAGATTTAGATAAAAAATAAAATTATTAAAAATATTCATTTTAGATTCACATTACTGTTGTGGTTAGATAACAGAAGCTTTCTGATTAGAATTTATGATCAATATTAGGAAAAGTAACCAGATAAATAATCCTACATGAGGTTCGAGACTATTGACTTCAGCAGTCAATGATTCTCTTTTAATTGATACATGCTTATATCTAATAATTTCTTTGAGAAAAATAAGAAAATTATATCGTTAGAATATATAAGAGTAATTCCAAAAAAGGCTTTTCTCATTATTGTTTGTTCATCAATTATTCTAAAACCCAAACAAAGCACTTAAAACATTTTATATTAACGGCGAAAGACAGAAAATTCACTACTGAAGGAATATTTAACTCCTAATCAATTCTATGCAGAGTGATCAAGCGATTAACCTTCAATAATGCTTTGTGTAAAATACAACAGATCATTTGAAATGCAACTTGAATCTTGATTGTATCGAAACAATGTTAATTTACGTATGATGATGGCATGTGACCACTAGAATAAATCATTATCTCTTTGCAATCACATGTCTAGATACATATCATTGTACGTAATAAAACTTCAAGTTTGTTTTCAATAATACTTAAATCATTACATTGCTAGGTGTGCATTTAAACATTATGAAGTATAGTCTTTTCTTTCTTACTATGTATTATTTTTCCATGCTTTATTATTAGACGCTTAAATGAGTACGAATGCTTATGGCTAATGTATTATCTATATTATAATGCACCTATCAAAGAAATATAAATACTTACCACTTAGCGTGAAAACGTAATTAAGACTCGAATAAATTGTCAGGTATATTTTGGCAAATAAAATATTTCTCTCAAAATAGGTAAATCAAATTTTTCTTACGTAAGACTTAAGGCATTTGTGATTAAAAACATTTTTTTTTGAACATTCAGGGTCATACACTTGTGAGTCATATATATAGACTCAAACAAGCATGACCTTGATTGATTCGGTGGCTTCTCTTTCGAAGGCAGGAATTCATAAAATGCTTGGCTTTAGTAATCAGAATAAGAACGTACTTTACTTGAACTGATAATTGTCCTATCAAAAGCATTCATACACTACACAGAGAGATAAGTAAATTTCAAAACTTGTTAAAACGTTGCTTTTTGACAAAACAAAATGCATCATATCGGTTTCAGTAATTGATAAGCTTGTTGAAACATTGAAGAAGTTAATCATTATCTATATGTAGGCCTTACCTAATATTTTCTATTTATTGTTGTCTGTATTATGCTAATGCAGTTGATATCTTGAAGTACTTTATATATTAAACGATATTGATTATGCTTCTAATCATATAATTACCTTCATACCAGGTCAAAATGTTTATTTTTAAGAAGCATTCCACTTTAATCTTTCTAGATTTCGTACACATCATATAAATTAATCAGTTTTTGTTCTTGACTTCACTATGCGTCTAGAATTTGATGACTTACTTTGGCGTATATGAATCTTTCAAAGTTCATGCAGGCTGTATTATTAACGTAACGTTCTGTCGAACAAAACAGAAGTAGTACGTTGAATTTCTATATCGTTTTGTTCTCTGTTACGTTTAATATGAGTATCCACAAGATTCAAACCTATATTTGTAATTGTTTTAAAGTTTGTAAGAGTTAATTAGTTAAATCTGCAATGCATGCAGAATGTATACATGCTTTCCACTTGATGATTCATAAACATACAAGGTTACAAACCCACTTTTTAAGCATAGACAAATCCATCAAATCAATTATGTCTTAATTACAGATGACCAAACTATTGAGTTAAAACTATGTACGTCAACTTTTTTACATAATATTTGATCATTTAAAACTATATGCCAAAATGACTTATTCCGTGATTTATTAAGTAAAATTTCTACATTATTTTGTGATAATACTTTGTCGTCATTTACTAAAACTGAGAGTTAAGAAATATTGCTTTAAAACAAAAATAAGTCAAAAAATGATAGAAGAAAATAATTTCAATGAATAATTGACGTTAAAACATCAATAAGTGTCTCCAATGCCCACTAAACTTGTATCTTTTAACAGTACGATATAAAATAAGGGTAAAATTGACAAAGATTATTAAGACATTTTATATCTAAAGATGATGAAAATACCTCTTAATTTTAGTATTTATGAATGTAAAGCTGTTTCAGGGTTTGTCTATTCAAATAATATGGAAAATTTATATTGAAAAGAAACTATTCTAAGAGTAAATCACACAAGGTGATACCTTTTGTTTAAATATTTGTATCTTACTTGTTTATGTCCAAATAAAAAAAATCTAATGTATAATTACCAGTTTCTAACACCCGCTCTTAAAAAATTGTGGATGTTTATCTATTTTTCCTACTTAAATATATTAGACATAATGAAGTATAAATGAGTGAAAATGGAAGGTCCTACTTGGTGTGGTTTCCTGGTAAGAATAAGATTATCAAACTGTACTTACTTATCTGGATTTGGTTCTTGCCAAAGACAAACACCATGCTTCACCACTAAATTGAGATTGTGGGCCATGCAAGAAATACGATTGCCAAACTTCAATGTTGATGCTGCTTTTTTCATTTCAGAACCATTGTCCGTGGTAATGCTAATAAGTTGTTCTTGTCTAATATTAAGTCGCTGTAGTTCAAATTGAATATAACGTTCAATTGTTGTTGATAGATGACGACCAATAACACGACGACAGCCAAGTACAATTGGAACAGTTTCATATTTTTTCGTAAATACATGACCAGTAAGACTAATATAATGAATCCGTTTTGAGCTTCGCCACAAGTCACATGTAAGTGCAATAAAATCAACTTTTGAAAGAACAGAACGGAGTTTGGTGGTGTATGATGAATATATTTCAGCTATTTTTCTTCGAACTGTTTTGCGATGTGGACCAATGTATCCAGGAACAGCTAATTGAAGAAATTCCTTCATACCTGACTGACGAAATACTCCAAAGGCAAGACCATCACGTAATATACAATTAACAGCAGCTGTGTGTAATTCACGTTTTCGTTCAGATGAAATAATTGGAGGATGAATATTCGAATCATCATTCATTTGCGATGCATATAAAACATTTGAAATTTGATGTAATGAACTTGCTAAATGCTTTCTTAAATTAGCATCACTCTTCTTATGACATTGATAAACCTGATAAACAAAAAAAAAGATCTTTGAAGTTGAAAAATTATTCTAAGTTTATTCCACTCATCTACTACTTCAAATCTTTCATTTCTCTTCTCTTTTAATAAAAAGAGGATTTTATACTACTGGAAAAGTATGTTCATTTTTAATGAATTCTTAAAAATTATATGATTAATTGGAAAACGTCTAATTTATTGTGCAGTAAGATGAATATTGATTCTTTGGAGTGTTTCTACTGAAACTAGGTTGGAAAGACTTCAAAGTCGAATTGTCAAAAACTGAGTTTTATTGTCATATTCTAAAGACAATAAAGTGAAAATTATGTCCGGTAATTGGTTACTGTAATAATTTCCAGATCAGCGCTTACCCTACTGACTTCTCTGTCTTTCCATTCTTTCGATCTTTCTCTCTTCTTTATGACCTGCTTTATTCATCTTACTCTCTTTTTCTTCTCTCTTTTGTAAATGTGTTTCACACAATATTATGATTAATTTAGCTGTAAAGTGCCTAATGAATCCTTATAGGCACAGGTAGATCTATAGCTAGTGCTTCAATCTCTCATTAAATTTATCTAAAAAGAACTTAAGATAAGATAATGAAAATACGATTGATACTTAAAATAAAAAGCCAAAAATCAAGGAGACAATAATCCTACATGTTTGGTGATGTGTAGTTTTAATTATATTGTCCGTTATAAAACAACTTTTTAGAATACTTCCAGATGACAATAACATATTGAGCTTTTATCTTTAACATATTCCGTTATTATGCTTTTCTTCTCTAAATAAAGCAGCACGATCTGTATATGACTATTTTGAACAGTGCACTTTACCTGCATACACCTTTAGAAAAATGAGTTTTCAATTATACTTCTTAAGATAGCAATACCTTTTTTATAACTCAAGAGAAGGATTATAGAATGTTCGTTGTGTATGCATTAATTTCGCTCCATATATTTATATTAATACATCATATATGCATAGTAGAGTTTATAAAAAAAGAGACTTACATTATTACACAACTTGCATTTGTACCCATCATCTTGAACTATAAAGTAAGATAAAACTTCAGATCGAGATGCCAATCCAGTTGTTTTTTCTTTAATGATTGTATTATTGTCGATAAGCATCTCTTCATCATCGGATTGATCAGATGGAAGAAGATCTTGATGAGAAACGTTATTTTTATGATTATTATCATGAGCACCATCATCATCATTAGATATAATAGTTGAATAACTAATGGAATTACTGGTAGTCGATACACCTTGAGTATCTGTACTAGCTGAAGCTCGTTTACGAACATTTAATTTTGGTGAATGAGGATTAGTAACACCTCCAGATATTGTTCGATGGATACTTGATTGAATTGATGATAATGATGTTCTTTTAGTTAATTTAGCTGAAAGACGAACACTTCGTCGACTGTCACCAGCAGCCGATGTATTACTTGATAAATAATTCGTATTACCCTGACTTGATGATGTTGCACTTGTTGATTGTTGTGAAAGGATAGTCGTATTGCTACCTGTATTATTTTCGACCTCTCTTGAAATCATATCAAAATAAATAAAACGGAAATAAGCGAGATAATAACAAATATCATTGTGTTCATCGTTACATTACAATATAATATCTTTCATCTTTTGAAAACATATATTTTACAAATGTGCGCTGTTATTTGCATGTTGCACATTTCCAAATCCAATTTCAACATTGAACTTCGATACATTGTTCCATGACGAACACATAATGATTGAGAATATTATTATATTAAATTCTCCAGGATATAATGACATACCAATGAGAATAGATTCACGACAAGATTTATAGATACTCTTAATTGAAGCTGTCAGAAAAACACGTACTTATTCTGGTACTTTTCAACGCTAAATATTTTTATTGCCTTAGGACTCAAACTGAAGAGATATTCGACAATTCTGACACCCCACAGAAACCATATTTTTTCCAATGGTCGAGTACAAATATTTGCAACTGTCCAATAAAGTATTTAAATTTGTAATATTGAGCAGCTGAAAAGCGTAAGTAGTGAGGAAAGATACCAAACGTGATCCACTATTTTAAAACGGATGTATACCAAATTGAAGAGCTTGATATGACTGATTCTAAGAAGATCTTACCCAATCTCTTGAAATTGAGCCCTCCTTGGCGTATTAGATTTTCTCTTCTAGTATCGTATGTAAAAAGCTGTTGAATTTAGAAATTTTAATCTAAAACTTTCTTTGTTCATTGAAGGCTCTAATGAGCATTAGAATATCATTTAATTTCAACTCAAGCAAATGTTTTCTCCGTCAGACATTAGAGAATTGAAAAACTGATCGCATGTCACTACCAAAGGTCAGATAATCAGGTTTCTTAGATACTCAATATTTCCAGACGAAAGCATTCATTTGAGATGAGATTTTTAAGACATTTTAATATCATTGAGGATTCTTTGTACATAGTTCCAGTAGGGCATTTCATCACCAAATTACGCCATATATATACATGGCTGGTGATCGAAAATTCAATAAAATCTCTCCAACTCATCAAGTACAAATGATTCAGAGGAAATTTTCGAAGATTTTTTAGTCGTATCGATGTATTCAAACTGTAATCTATATTTAGGAGATGAGATTAAGCCGAGCCCTTGTTCATATCTGAATAGATTGTAATTTTA